AGATTCCCAGAGGCCTAGTTTGCCTTCTGTCGGAGGAACTCACCGGTGTGTTACCTGATTAAAAACTATTTCTCAGGGAAAACTGTGTCAATCCTGTGAATTACAGGATTACAGCGCCATGGAAGGCAAGGGATTGTGTTTACAAGGTATGTAGTGTTTCCCCTGTAAATAGGTTTCTGTGGAATAGGTAAAGTTAGGATTTAGGCTGATTAGATTAAATGTAAGCAAATAAATGCATTCATTAGGGATCATGAAATGTTGGCCCGAGAACTTTGTATTCACATTGTTTATTCTCCACACTGCAACACACATTTAACGTGCTTATGTTAAGGCATTTCTATATAAAGTAATTAGATCATATTACAGAGATGATAGAATGCGTCTTAATGTGTCACAAGAATGCATCACAAACACGTTAGAAGAATGTAGACAATATTATGATATATGCTCAAGTCAACACAGGTTTTCATGCATGCATGGTTTGCGCTTACGTCTTTTGCTTGAAACGTCACACTGACTCCTCTGTGTGCATCAATGAATACTCATCAAGTCATTTCAGACATTAGGACTGCTTTCATGTGACATATATTACAACTAATGCAAAAGCACAACTCGTTTTTTGAGCTTAGACCTAAAAAATTACATTTCCAACTTAAACTGTGTTAAATCTTGAACGTTTGATCTCTTTTCAAAGACGAAACTTGGCAGATTATTGCTGAAGTGAAAAAAAGTTTTATAGCAGAATTTTATGTGCATCGTTATGAAAAATATACAAAAATTATTTATTTTGTTTAATGAAAGAAATATTTTCTAAATTACGTTTTACTCTAAAAGTGCGTGTTAAAGATTTGAGGTTGATCTCTCCGTAAACGAGCGTTCAGTGAGAGTGTGTTCGGCTGCAGTTCCAAACGCTTCCACTAGAGGAAACTCTCCATTCATTTCTGACACGAGGAGCACAAGTGAGACTGTTGATCACAGCACCATTAAAGGGTTAGTTCACCCAAAAATGAAAATTCTGTCAGTATTTCCTCACCCTCATGTTGTTCCAACCCCGTAAGACCTTCGTTCATCTTCGCAACACAAATTAAGATATTCAAGATATTAAGATCGCTCCTGCATACAGTCCATAGGCTTCTTGAGGGAATGACTCTTGCTGGCATCGAAAAGTCATTAAAGACATCGTTAAAATAGTCCAAGTGACTACAGGGGCTCAATCTTAACTTTATCAAACGACGAGAACACTTTTGTGTGCAAAAATAACGACTTTATTTCAACTATTGGTTTATTTCTCCCTCTGCGCGAGTCAGGTTACTAGTTTAATAGCGTAAGCTTCTGTTATTGTACGTCACACGCATCACACACACATGACCAGCGTCGCCCAATAGTGAGCCTTCGTGTGACGTAGCTTTACACAATCACACTACGTTAACTGACTACAGGCCCATGGAGAAGGAAGTGAATAGTTGAAATAAAGTCGTTATTTTTGTTTGTTATTGCGCACAAAAAGTGTTCTCGTCGTTTGATAAAGTTAAGATTGAGTTGACTATTTTAACGATGTCTTTAATGACTTTTCGAGGCCAGTAAGTGTCATTCCCTCAAGAAGCCTATGGACTGTATGCAGGAGCGATCTTAATATTTTAAATATCTTAATTTGTGTTGCGAAGATGAACGAAGGTCTTACGGGGTTGGAACAACATGAGGGTGAGTAAATACTGACAGAATTTTCATTTTTGGGTGAACTAACCCTTTAAAGCTTTCACCAAGCTTTCTGCCAATACAGTGAAAGTGCACATTTCTTGTGGACAGCCAGGCGCGAATAGCGTGTCAAATTCACGCCTACCGCATCTAGTTATACGCGTGAACACTTTGAATCAAATTCGCACGTCAAGAGCGAAATTGACGCGTGTAAAAAAAAAAAAAAAGTTTGAAGCGAAATTTACCCGAGTCACGCGCGTCAGAATCAAAATCCGTTGGCGGCCATCTTTTTTTTCAAAGTTTGGATGTCTTTTTTTTCCAGTAATAAACAAACACTGTTAAGTTGTTATATAAATATATTTGATTTGATGTAAAGCGCTATATAAATATATTTGATTTGACTCGATCCGAAGCGTTTGGCGAGTTCCAGGAGGTGCGCTGGATGACGGCCATGATGTCAGCGGTACTTCCGCCTGAACAAACTTGACGAGCGAAAAAAAATGTATTCGAGTCTACCGCGCCACGCTCTAACGCCTCATTCGCGCCGCAGGAATTTTTACGCGCGTGACGCGTCTTTGCATTGACCTAACATTGAAATCATTCGCGTCCTGTGTGAGTGCACCATAAGGCACACCTGTGCAAAAATCATTGTCTAATCAGCATTTTGATACGCCACACCTGGATGATCTCGGCAAAGGAGAAGTGCTCACTAACACTGATCTAGACTGATTAATGAACAATATTTGAGAGAAATAGGCCTTTTGTGTACATAGAAAAGTCTTAGATCTTTGAGTTTAGCTCATGAAAAATGGGGGCAAAAACAAAAGTGTATATGTATTTAAATGTGAACTTGGCAACTCTAGCCATTTCTTCGCTGATCATAGCATAGAATTATGACGAATTGAGCAGTTCGTGTTTCTCGCTCGCTCTCGCTTCTCACGAGACTTCCTATTTCCAAATGAACGGGACGTTAGTCTCCAAGTTGCAAGGTTGGTTTTCCGTCTGGGAATGCTCGGATCGGGTTATTTAACCATCCAAATCATTTCTAAACTTGAAATTCTTGCCAAGTTCCCCTTTAAGTACTGAGTAATAATGATTAACAGCATGTACTTACTTTAGGATTAGGATTAGGATTTGTTTGAGGGTTAGTTGCATGTTATTATGCATAATTTACTGTTGTTTTTATTATGGTAAGTACATGTAACATATGCAACAAGGACACTGTAAAACAAAGTGTTTACTCATTCCCTAACCCAGCACTGCATTCAAATAGTCGAAAAAGCAGAATAAAGTTGTTTCTATCACTGAATTCTCATTTGATAATGAATTGTCAAATATTCTAATCAAATAATAATTTGTCATCTCTCTCAGCATAAAGCTTTACTGAATGCAGTAATGCGTCAAAAATTTACCTTTTTTTTAATAAAGTTTATAAAGACGCTAATTTTGCTAATTTAAAGATAATAATGCATGTAAGAGTGGAAAAACGGGAAGAACTGGTTGAGGAACAAACGCTCCTCGAGAAGATGGAGCAATATGTATGCAAAACTTGTTGGAAATTACCATTTGAACTCACCGTTTGAGGTATGGTTTAAACAATATGGTTAGTGTGAGTCACTATCATTGAGTATTACACATGTTTGGTGTCATATGAAACGTCTCAGGGTGACTGATAAAAAAATTAAAACAAAAGGTAATAAGGTTTTTAAGAGTTTAGAGATGACATGCACATAAAGGTGGGATAAACCCTCCTGTTCTCGAAGCTGTAAACACTGAATGACAATTACCATCGTTAGCACACGTTTCCAGGTGAAAGAAGTTTTGTCTATATAAAAGCAATGCAGCAAAGACAGATGAAAATACGAGTTAATCCATGATAAAAATCCCTTTGCCACGAGGAAAGACAGAGAACTTCCCCGCTGATCGGATAAGCCTACATTGGGCCGATCGAGCCGGCCGTACATGCATTAAAAAAACGCCTTTTTTCAAACAATCTCAGCATCTCTTTTGACTGCACCCATTAAGAAGCATTTTTGACACAATGATCACAAATGCATCAATCTCATCATCTTACTTGACAAGTTTAATAAAATGCAAGTCTTACAATACACCGTAAAAAACATCGGGTTATTTTTAAAGGGATAGTTCACTTTGAAAATATTTTTTGAAATGTTTTAGCTTACCTGAAGGGCATCCAAGATGTAGGTGTCTTTGTTTCCACAGTATTTACAATTTTGACATTTTTTCGGTCAAACCGGTGTTGTCTGTCAGTCATATAATGGACGTTTAGGAGATTTCGGAAGTTTTACCTTTTACCGCCATCTTTAGAATATTGTTTTTGAACTTCCGGTTATGCGGTCTCATCTCTATCGCATTGCTGTCCAGGAGTAATTCGCTTTGAAGTGATTTATTAATGTGAAGTTAACGAAAGTTAAATGTTTAAAGCAATTGTCTTAACAAATGTCAGTAGACCGGGAAGATTTTAAAAAGAGCCGTTCATTATGATCGCAGTGAAAATACAGACCGGAAGACAAAAGACAACGAGCGCGGCTCTGAAAAGGGGCGGGGCTACATGAGGTCTATACAAGTAAAACAATCTGTATTTGAAAACAAAGTGTATTTTATTAATTCAAATAAAAATAGGCTATTCATTCAAATAAAAATTCATTCGAATTAAAATAAATAGTTAACTGTTGGGTTACTTTTAACCCAATGCATTGGGTTAAATAAATAACCCACGGTTGGGAAGATGCTGCTATTTCCTCCCCATAGTTGGGTTATTTTTAACGCAAAATTGTTTATTTTAATGTACAAATATATTTTTTTAATTACAAACTAAATATTGGGGAGTCTAGAATTTAAATATGTAATTGTGGACATAAATACCAAACACACAAGTACATATCTATTTACCCCAGCAGCCGGGTTATTACTAGAAATTACCCAACGATTTTAAACATTTTTGGAAAAATTACCAACTCTACACACAAATATGAGTAGCTCTACACAAAAATAACCCTTCGTCCTTCAACAGTGGATATTGATGCGATGCATTTCCAAAGAAGAGCTGTCAAATAATCTAACAAGCAGCATGTTGCGTTTGGTCGCATCTCTCTCTCTCTCTCTCTCTCTCTCTCTCTCATCCAGACAGGAGAGTTGACGGGAGGTAATCCCCTCCATGTGAGGAGGCGGCACGGGTGTGTAGGCGTGTTGTTTTTCATTCAAATCCTTACTAGTCCTATAAAAAGCGGGACTCGGTTCTCGAAAAAGAGAGATAGATAGGTAGAGAGAGAGAGGGAGAGAGAGAGAGAGAGCGAGCGAGTGAGTGTGTGAGAGAGAGAGTGTGTGTGTGTGTGTGAGCGAGAGAGAGAGAGAGAGAGAGAGAGAGCGTTGAACGACACGACTGTATCTGTACCTGTCCGGACGGGGATGGAGATGCTGCATGGATCCGCAGGTGTCCAAACGGCGAAGGCGTTGAAAAACGCGGCGGTGTGTCTGATGCTTCTCCCGCGGTTCCTGCTCGCGGCACTGACGCTCTGGCTCCTGGATTTCCTATGCATCCGAAGGAAGCTTTTAATGAAGATGCGGGAAAGCGACATCGCGAGCCCTGACGACCCGCCGATGTGCGTGTCCGACTCCAACAAGATGTTCACGCTCGAGTCGCTGCGCGCCGTGTGGTACGGACAGAAGCTGGACTTCTTTAAAACGGCGCGTCTGGGCGGCGCGGCGCCCAACACAGAGGTGGTTCCGCTGGACAGCACGCGTCTGAGAGGCACGCGGACGATTCTAGACTACGCCCGCGGGAGGAGACCTCTCATAGTCAACTTCGGGAGCTGCTCCTGACCGCCGTTCATGACGCGCCTGTCGGCGTTCCAACGCGTCGCACGGCAGTACGCGGACATCGCAGACTCGCTGCTGGTGTACATCGAGGAAGCGCATCCGTCAGACGGCTGGGTGAGCTCCGACGCGCCGTACCAGATCCCGCGGCACCGCTGCCTGGAGGACCGGCTCCGCGCCGCGGAGCTCATGAACCAGAAAGTACCGGAGTGCGCAATAGTCGTGGACACCATGGAGAACTCGTCCAACTCGGCGTACGGCGCGTATTTCGAGCGCCTGTACATATTAAAGGACGAGAAGGTCGTGTATCAAGGCGGGAGGGGTCCGGAGGGCTACCGGATCTCGGAGCTCAGAGACTGGCTGGAGCGTTACCGGAACGAGCTGGAAGCGTCAGGCGCGCCGGTGGTTGTGCACGTGTAAAAGACGCACGCGGATGGATGTTTGGATGTTTTCTCCACTTCTCTCGTGTCCTTAAGTCATCAAAACATGCACTCTTGTTTTAAGCGAACTTTGGGTCAGATATGGATAGACGCAGCCGTTGAAATTGCATTTTTAACCCAACGGTCGGGTTTGGTCATATTTGACCCAAAAATGTTTTTTGTTTTGTTTCATTTTTTTAGTGTAGTGACTGTTCTTCGCTCTTACCAACAGAGTCATTGAGTCCGGTTTGACTGGGATCTTTATAATGTTTAGCTTCTACGGATCAGTGTTTTTTGGTTCCACTTTAGTCCATTTTAGACATTAAACCATAAGTAACTTTGCAAATACATGTCAACTAACTGTCATTATCAGATATTAATCAGATCGACATGTAGTTGCAAAGTTACTTATGGTTAAATCAATGTCTAAAGGGTACTATCGAAATAAAATGTGTTTTTTTTGGGTTCTTCGAAATAAGCTAATGTCTCTTTGGATAAGGATTTTGTTCTGAGCTTGAGCCAGGCTTGTTTTTAACCCGGGGTCCATCACCGTAAAGCCGTCTCCTCAGGTAGCCTAAAAATGGGTTACACACACCATTTACAAAGTCATTTAAAACAATTCATTACAGTTGCACATTTCACTTTGTTTACAGTGTGGACCCCTGGGAGAAAAAAATAGTTTTTTTAAAATATATTTTCATTATATATATATATATATATATAAGACAGATGGATGTTTTCCCATGCAATCTCTTGTGTCTTTATAATGAAGTCATTAGCTGTGTTCAAAACCTAATGTGAATGTGTGTTTTTTGTGTGTGCATTCTTTACATCATAGAAATGCTTTTTAGAAAAAAATTACACGCACACAAAAAAAAAAAAGTTGTTTCATGTTTCAAAACAGGAGTAAACGTCAGATCCGGGGTTTTCTATGACATAAACATTCCGTTTAGAACTAAATGACGCTTTATGTTCTCAGCGAACGTTCTAAAGAGTGCTTGAGCTTCTCATGTGGGTCGAAACCCTTGATCTGGAGGACGAAGCGTCTCACGGACTGTGATAATGTGCAGGTTTTGAACACAGCCATCAAACCAGTGTCTTCAGCTGCTGCTACAGACTCTCACACACAATACTGCAGATGTTGGGTTTCTTTCACGCATACAGTTATCTAGACAGATGTTTAAGCGACCGCATGATAGCTGTTGTGCTTTTTGTGTTTTTATGTCAATCCAACCTGGCATTTTATTTGAAATATTGCAAAAACAGTATATCTATCTATCTATGACATATCCTATTTTTATTTTTGTATGGTATATTTCCCCTGTGAGCGTGTGTGTGTGTGTGTGTGTGTGTGTGTGTGAATGTGCGGCCAGGAGGCCGTTTCATTGTACTCTGGAGTTATTGTGAAGATCGGTTTTTAAAAGGATTTTAACCAGAAAACCGATACTGATGTAATTTGACACTAGAGTACAGGACAGAGAAATGGCCTCCAGACATATTGCCAAATGTTGTTTTGTAAATGGTGTATATTTTATTGAACACTTTTTTAAATAAATGGTAGAGCACCCTCTAAATCGGTTTGATCCATGATTTCTAAGTGACTCGGCTGGACCTGAAATGTGAAAAAAATAAACCGTTGTGTGAAATATATCAATATAATGTGAGGTAAATAATGCATTTCTGTGAAAGTAAGATACATCAATACTTGTTTTTCCTGACTGTAATATTTCTTTGTATCTGAGACATTTTAACAAGCCAAACGTACCGTCAAATATCTCTCATATTGCCTGTTTACAGGGATGTAAAAGCAATGCTTTTAGCTTCAAAAATCATAATTAGGCATTGGGAAATTACGTCAAACATGTCAATTATGAAAAACATGCTAACTACCTCTCATTAGATTATTGACATGGCTAGTAAAATAAGTTGACATGCATTTGCCTAAAAAGGGTTAGCAAAATGCAAATGATCCATGTTTAATGGTGTTGGATAAACCAAGCATCACTATTATAATATTAGTTGCAAGTTTTACAAGTTACACCCGACTAACTCGGCTCTCGAGGAATGTCTGGTGGAGTGAACTGTCTTTAGAGCTTTAACATGAGAAAGATGAGCGGTCTTGGAGACACACTATACACTCTAAAAAAAACACTGGGTAAAGGGCTGGGTAAATATAGGACGGAACACATGTTGGGTTAATTTTACCCAGAAAATTGGGTTGTTATTTAAACCAAGAATATTGGGCTTTTACTATAACACTTGCTTATTTTTACTTCTCACATGAATTACCGTAATGATTACAGATGAACTTAACTCCTCTAAATGTTTTTATAATACTCCACACAACCACTGAACATTTACAAGCAATTAAGTGTAATCGGCCAGTCTCCGTTATCCCGTTTCCACCGCAACGGCACTGGATCATGCGATCATAGCCCGTGATAAATAACTAAACCCCTGGGTTGTTACATCTGACCCAGTAGCTGGGTAACACAAAAACTACTCAAACACTGAAAAAGAACACAAAAAAGAACACAAAAGGTTCAACAGGATTTGAGTAGAAAAAATAACCCAATTTCCCAATAATCAAAATCAGCGTAATGCACAACCTTGAGTGGATTATTGCAATAAAAGACAATAAATAGTCACATTTATTGCTATAGTTTTTTAGTTTGTTTAGTTGCAAATTAATGCATTGATATAGAAAAGGTGCGATATATCATTTATTTTTGTCATGAAGGGTCATTGTTATCGCATGTGTGAAAAATATTAAAATGCAAAAGTTTCTCAAGCCCATGCAAAAGTTTATTGTGCGCATGTAAAAGTTTCTCAAGCGCATGCAAAAGTTTCTAAAGCGCATGCAAAAGTTTCTAAAGCTCATGCAAAAGTTTCTCAAGTGCATGCAAAAGTTTCTCAAGCGCATGCAAAAGTTTCTCAAGCGCATGCAAAAGTTTCTCAAGCGCATGCAAAAGTTTCTCAAGCGCATGCAAAAGTTTCTCATGCGGAAGCAAAAGTTTCTCGTGCGCATTCAAAAGTCTGTATTTTTTATTTTTGGAAATGGCTCATAACCCTTTACGTTTACGGGGCTCCATTGCACTGAGTAAGGTCGATTTGAACACGATATGCCTTATACTTTACCTATTAACAAATACAATTAATGTATTAGTAAATGTTGAAATAAATAGTAACTAAGATTAATAAATGCTGTAGACGTATTATTTATTCTTAGTTCATGTTAACTAAAGTAGTTAAATAATGAACCCTATTGTAAAGTGTTACCGTTATTATTGCATACTGTTTTATAATATACTGCAATACACTGAGGTGCAAATAATATCAGCCACAGAAGAGACTTCTATAAAAAAAAACATGAATTATTCCAATCTTCTCCATCCTTAAAATGCTGCGGTTCAATGTGTTTGACAAAAGAACGTCTATACCAGTGTTTAGACAAAGGAAAGATGTCTTGTCAGATTTTCCATGATGTTCTTGTCCTTATCAAACACTCGTCTGCAATCTGACAGGATGGAGTTTGTTGGAGCGACGATCCCGTTTCTGCGGCCCACACTCCGCTGATTGTTTAGTCTGCGTTTGAACAAAGAGCGAGAGAGATTGTTTGGGCCAGTTTCGGGGGGATGGATGGATGGATACGTGAGGCTTGAGTGCTTCATGATGGCTTTTGAATGAGTCTCTCTGAGTGCAGAGCAGCAGGAGATGTGATTAAGGCCCACGTGGCGCTCGTCCTCACGGCTCGATTTAATGTATTCAGTCCTCTTCTTTATCAGCCGGGCGAGGAGTCCTTTAATCTGCACTGCGTGTTCATCTCGCCAACACTATTCACCTGCTCACTCCTGTCGGTTGCCATCGACGATCCATCAGAAAAACAAGCTCAGGCAAAAACTAGGCTTCTCATTTCTTTCAGTTTTCACCACCCATCAATAACACCCATCAAGAACAGTAAAAGGTGAATTGTTTATAGACTATTAATAATAAAGGTTATGCAGCGATGCCATAGAGGAAACCTTTTTGGTTCCCCAAAGAACCTTTCAGTGAACAATTTTAAAATACACCAACATTCTATAAAGAACCTTGTGCGATGGAAAGATTCCAAGCATTTTAAAGGTTCTTCTGGTTGGTCAATCCAGTGGTGTTCGATCCAATGAGGTTCATTCTCGTGTTACACATCCCGTTTGAGCTTCAGCAAGAACCAATGAGGTGCATTCTCGTGTTACACAAGAGCCAATGAGGTTCATTCTCGTGTTACGCATCACGTTTGAGCTTCAGCAAGAACCAATGAGGTGCATTCTCGTGTTACACAAGAGCCAATGAGGTTCATTCTCGTGTTACGCATCACGTTTGAGCTTCAGCAAGAACCAATCAGGTTCATTCTCGTATTACGCATCACGTTTGAGCTTCAGCAAGAACCAATGAGGTGCATTCTCGTGTTACACAAGAGCCAATGAGGTTCATTCTCGTGTTAGGCAAGAGCCAATGAGGTTTTAATATCTGATAATTGCCGTCTTAGTGTTGCTATATCTAGGTTTTTACCCTGTGAATGATAAATGTGCATTATAAAGTTCATAAAGTCTCATATCTAGGAAAGAACAACAGGAGCTTCATAAACAGTCTCTCTCTGTGTGTGTCTGTCTATATCTCTTTCTCTCTCTCTTGTAGAGTCATCCGCTCAAGCTCCTGCAGAAGAGACACAATATGAATTATTATGGTAAAAGATCACTAGATTAAAACAAAATGTCAGTGCCTCGGAGGCCTGTAACACTTTAAGCTCGCTTCTGATTCTGCGGAGGATTGTGCCATTTGACTGATTGTGTGTGTGTGTGTGTGTTTGAGAGAAAGAAAGGGGGGGGATTGTGTGTAGGTATGTGTGTGCCAGCATTTGTAAGTGTGTGTGTTTGTGTAAAAATGTGCATGACAAAGCAATCAATATTGATCAATTAAATAACAGCTTGCACATTTTGCAGTGGCAAATTCCATTGATGATATGAGTTGATTTCTCAAACTGTGTTCAGATTAAGAAGAGACCAAACAAAAGCGTGCAATCAAAAGTCAAAGATCTCAATACGAACTATGAACATGAATCTTGCAATCATTAAATTATTTTCTTTGTATATCAAACCCCAGATAAATGACAATATTGTTGGTATTTGCTAGAATCCATGATAATATGAAGTCCAGGACCTCCAACAAAAAAATAGGTCCACAACACTATAGACCCAGGAGTATATTTAACCGTGGGCATGGGGTACTTTTTAACCCTGTTTGGGTTTGATGCCAAAAATCTACTTTTTTAGTTTCATCTGAACATGATAAAGATCTTCAACATTTGCCTAATGAATATGCTGGAGTTTGTTTTTGGAGGAGCGAAGAGGATTTTCCTTCAAACTCTCCCAATCAACATATGGTGATATTGGGGTTGTTTTATCATTTTTTTAGGCTTTCTGGCCCTGAGACTCAACCAATCTGTGCAATTCTCCATCTGTGATCCTTGAAAAGTCTTTGGCCACTTGAGCTTTCCTCATTGCTGTGCATTAAGACAAAATAAACACACGTCCCCCTTCCTGGCAGATCCAGAACATCTTTAGTTGATTGGAACTTCTTAAAGTCCCCCTTTTAATGTTGTTTATGTGTCTATGTGGTGTTTTTAATCCACTTTAACACACACCGTGTGTAAGTTGATAAGTGGGCAGCATTGCTGAGTATTTCCTCCTTAAAACTGCAGTGAACCAAAGACAGTCTCAAAAACACACTTTGAAATCGCTGGTGTTTCTGACATCACAAACCACCTTGTAACCAATCAGATCAACAAGTGATCGACAACCAGTGGATCTCTGAGTGAGGGAGTGGGGGTGGGGCTCATTTGCATATTCATAGAAACGTGCATACGAACTAGGGCAAGGGTGTCGAGTTACAACCTTTTATTAAAGATACTTTAAAGTCGGCGTGAAACAGAAGTTGAGATTGTCATTTTTTCCTTGTTGTGACGTATATCCGAGTGAAACGGCTTCTGAAATTAGAAACAAATGTAGGGTGGGGCTTGATTTCGTCCTTCGGGAATTGAATAGATCGTTAGAGGTTTGGCATTGCAAACAAAACAGAGGCAGATTTGAATGCGATTCTCTGAGAGGCGGTGCACCGATAGCCACACCCTGATCGGATCTGGCCACACCCTTTCGCCATTCCACGTGACCGAAATAGAAGAGAGGTCGTTTCGATGGGGGAGGGAAGGGTAATATATTTGATTAAAGATTATAAGTGTACATGAATTTGTGAAAAAAATAATGAAGTGCACAGATAAATCATTTAGAATAAACACTAGAATATTACATATAAAAAGAAGAGTTGTCAAATTTGATTTCATGCTGACTTTAAAGGAGTAGTTCACTTTAAAAAAAACGTATTTACTCGCCCCCGTGTCATCCAAGATGTCCATGTCTTTCTTTCTTCAGTCGAAAAGAAATTAAGGTTTCTGATGAAAACATTCCAGGATTTTCCATATAATGGACTTCAATGGGGACCAAACAGTTCAAGGTTTCAGTGCAAACTGTTCAAAGGGCTT